ATGGGACAGGGATATTGCAGGTCATTCTACAGATACTCGTGGCCCTCTGTAGCATCATCTGTGCTTGTAGATGGGACCCTTGCCCTTTCTAGATCTCCATTGCCTAATCAGGCTTTCCAATAAAATAATATTGATTGATTTCAAAAGTACAGGAGGGAGAAATTCATGTCCTCTCTTTGAAAATTATATTCCATAGTTCCTTTTGACATCTCTGCTTTTCATTTTAAGCCTAGTTTTTAGAAAAATTAAAAAAATTACTAGCCAATTAAATCATTGCCTCTTCAGTGATTAGATGTATTATTATATTTGGAGACATTTCTGTCTTGTTAAGTGCCTCCTCATCAGGTTTCCACCATTTTAAGGTAGGTCTACTTTTCTTAAATATGACCAATCTTTGTACATGTGATCTGAAATCAAAGTTTTTTAAAATCTTATTTTTGTAGTTATTTTCCCTCACTCTTTTTCCTATTGGGACATGTAGTGCTTATCAGATAGTAAGAAAGTGTATTTTCTCTCAAGGAATCTAGCACCTAAGTATAGAGGAGTGGATGAAGAGTCTAGTTAAGTCAAGCTTCTCCCTGAAAGTGATGTTTAAGTTTGTGCTAAAAACCAACAGGGATATGACAAATTGGTGCTGTGCTTTCCTTACTTATAAAATCATAACTAGTGATTAAGTAGTATACTGTACTAGGAAGGATTGCTAGTTTAAAAAGAAAAGCAGTACTTTCATGCTAAGAATATATCCTTTTTTATTATCTATATTTCTTTAGAATCCTTAATGACAATTTGTTATCCATAAATATGGTTAATAATAGTTCCTTTCGTTTCTATATTTCCTTTAGCTATCTTGTATTTTATGTCTAGGTTTAAAAATGTTAGTTTTTTCATAGTGGTTTTATTTTCAAAGTTATCTTAGGGTTATTCATTTTCTTCTTGATACATTAGAGTCAATTTTTACTTTTCGTAAGAGGTAAGAGGCCACATGACAGCAAAAGAACTATATCTGTGTGGAGACGTATGTGCCATTGAGCTCCCGTGCCCATGAGTTCTTCCGAAGCCAGACTATAGTTGAAGTTCAGGTATTCATACAATAGTTTCTCTAAACTGAATCACCAATTTGCCTCCTAAGTTTTCTGGATATTTATTACACTAAAGGTCAAGTAACTAAGACTTGTTTGCTTTTGAACTGAACTTCCTATTTTCTCCCTGAGTATCATTTTTTTTACCTAGCACTACTGAACCATGCATGTAATTAGGGGAAGGGATGATTTCCGTCCTGTCTACTTTTAGATCAAACAAGTTTAGTTGGTTTTTGTTTAGTAGGTCATGTAACATAAGTATGTGATATTTCCCTCATTTTTCACTATCTACTTTCTACATGGGATTGAAATCAATTGTGAATCCACAAGGTATGTTCCAATCATCTGGTAATAATTTGGAAAAAGTCCCAAACAAATTAAATAAAGACCCACAATTTTAAAGTATACCATAGCATCTTGTATAAACTCCAGCTTATGTTTTACATTATTCCTGGTCATGCAGTAGGTTGTGAAGAAAAGAGAGTTATGGATAATCAGTTAAAAGAATGACAGATTCCCTGATGTGCTGATCAGTAGTAATACCTAATTTCGATTTCGAGTGTGCTATAATGGATTACCATATAGATGTAGCTGAGCACTGAGCATTAAATAGAGCCATGTGTTTTTCAGAAAAGTAATATTTATTCACACTGTGTGACTTTCTTGAATTTTTTTTATTTTATTCTCCAGTGAAACTACAAACAAGATGTCAATAGCTTATGTGGCATTCACAGCAGTATAGCTTAGACTATCAGCTGTGGTAGAAGAAATGCCAGATTGTATTTGCCTTATAAAGGTAGGCTTCATCTGGGATTTCTGAGGAAAAAGGCTTAGCATTTAGATATAGATAACTGTCTTTGGCTTTATTTTTATTGACCTCATAGAATTAATGTATAAAAAATGGCTGTTGCATTATTTGTATACAAAAAGAAGTATCTATATAATTATTATTTCATCCTCTGAATTGTTGTATAAGAGTCTGTCCTTTTAGGAATATTTTTAGTAGCTCAGACATTAGGCATGATGTTTCGTATCCAAACCTTATTGAGTTTTATTTTGGAGTGTTTTGAAGTACATCCACCTTATAAATCTGAAAGCTTTTATCTAAGTGTAGTGACGACAATAATCCTGAACTTAAAATAAGTTGAAGACTACTTTTGTGGTAGACTGGCAGCATCTAAGCATCTGTATTTATGTCTTGCTACTTTTCTTTGTTTCATACTAACAAAAAGAAAACTAAGTCAGGAACAACAGTATGTGTTTGAGAAAGCTGAAAAGCATGATTCAGGGTCAGGTTGGATCTCTGACTAAATTAGAAGACTGAAAAACAGTGAGGCTGTCAAACATCTGTCAAGATAAGATATATCCTGAATCTTTCATTTACTCAGCACCTGCTTGGCAAGATGGTATTAGATAGTGACCTTGCAATGTAGTTGGGGTGCCAGGTCCTCTTAAAGGAGAATACATATGAAAGTAGGACATAATGTCCCAGCTGGGCCATTTGCTTAAGTGAGTGAACAAAAGGGAAGGAAGCAGAAAACCTGTAGGAAGACCTCAGAAGGACCAAGCTTCTATCTACATGATGTAACAACCAGCTGATTAGAAACAAAGCCAGCAGAGAGTCTATGTCCCTGAAGTGGACTATACTTTTCTTAGTGCTTCAGCTGTGTGTGAGAGAGAAAGGGAGGGAGAGGGGGAAGGAGTTAGAGAGAGAGAAGAGAGAGACAGAGAGAGAGAGAAGGGGGGATAGGGGAGCAAGTGTCATGCTAGGGCTTAATCTCAGAGTCTGGGAACTGTCCCTAAGCTTTTTCGCTCAAGGCTAGCACTCTGCCACTTGAGTTATAGTATCACTTATAGATTTTTGGTGGTTAGTTGGAGACTTTGGTTAATCACAGACTTTCCTGCCCAGACTGACTTCTAACTGTGATCCTCAGATCTCAGCTTCCTGAGTAGCTAGGATTATAGGCGTGAGCCACCAGTGGCTAGCTTCAGTCTTGTAACATGATAAGAAAAACCTAATTAGTAGTTTGAAGATTGCTATGGCACACAGTAACTTGTTCTGCCTAGCTTTCTGTTCAAAAAAGCATTTGTAGCCCAGCTAAAGGAGTGGCATCAGTTGATGGCATTCAGCTGTTAGTACCTTCACACTTTTCTTATTATAGCCCTAAGCTTCCAGCAGAGCAACGCCAGAGTAGGAGAACCTTCCATTTCTACTTGTACAGTACTCCTAATCTTTGTCTTAGAGCTTCTTAGATGGCAGAAGCTAAGAAGTCTCCTGCTTCCTTCTCAACTCTTTCCTAGGCATTTACTTCTCAGTCAACTACAGTAGACCCTTGATATCCATGGGTCTATGATTCCAAGAAGACACTATTGAAAATGAACTGTGCACAGGGTGCATAGAGTTTAGTACTCTAGAATTAATCAAATTTACTTATACTATACAGTAAGTCTGAGCATCTATAACTTCATGAGGCAGGTTACATTATTTTCACAAGTATTGCTGCTATAAACAGTAATGCTGCTTACCACACTAATTGTTACTTCATGATGCTTGATTCATTTTTTCCCATAATGCAACTCAACTTCTGTTAAAGACGTATCATTTTTCAACACATTATAAAAAATTTAGCATTTAAGTTAAACATCCATTTTCATGTTGTTTCTTAGGCTCTGTGTGTGTGTGTGTGTGTGTGTGTGTGTGTGTGTTTGTGTGTGTGTGTGTGTGTACGTACATGTGTGCTGGACCTGGGGCTTGAACTGGCACTGACCCTGATATATATATATATATATATATATATATATAGAGAGAGAGAGAGAGAGAGAGAGAGAGAGAGAGAGAGAGAGAGCTTAAGGCTAGTGCTCTATCACTTAAGCCAAAGTTCTACTTCATCTTTTTGGTGACTAATTGGAGATAAGAGTCTCATATACTTTCCTGCTTTGAACTGCAAGTAGCTAGAATTACAGGTGTGAGCCACTGGTACCTAGCTCCATTTGCTTTTTATGAGACATTTTCATAAAATTATGGACAGTAAAATACTCAGCAGATCACACAACAATTTAAATACAACTGACATAATGTGGGATTAAAGTATTCCTGTATCAACTGCACTTTACAATATGCATATCAGAATATAAAACTTTTTCAGCAGCCTATGGAACTTTCTCCAAGATAGATCATCTTTTAGGACATAAAACATATCTTGGAAAATATAAGAACACTGAAAAAAAGTGCGACATTACTAATCCTCAGAGAGATGCAAAGTAAAACTGTAATGAGGTGTCATTTCATACTTGCTGAGAATTGTATTATCAAAAAGACAAAAGTGTTGGCTAGGACAGAGAGAAGTGAACTCTAGTATACTGTTGTGAATGTAAATAGTAAAACCATTATGCAGAACAATATGGAGGTTCCACACAAAACTACTAAAAGTGTCAGATAATCCAAAGAGTTTAAATCAATATGTTGAAGAGATATCTGAACTGTCATCTTAATTGCAACATATTTCACCATAGCCAAAATATGAAATCAATCCAAGTATTTATGAATAGATGAATAAAGAAAATATAGTATAGATAGGCAATAGACTACTAGTTAACCCTTAAAAAGAAATTAATTTTAAGTTGTGCATTATTTTATATGGTCATATGTATATAGCTTTTGAGCTTTTCTGCTCATCTGATAAAATTATCCTAGACATATACTAATTATTGGAAGGAATTAAAGCAAATGTTCAAGGAAGGACATTTACCAGGGGCAAATAGAAGAAACCCTTTCATAGGAATACAGCTAAAGTATGGTGCTTATAAGTAGTTTTCTTTTTCTTTTCAGAAACATATATATACTACAAGTAATATGGGCCTATCTTGAAAATGTGTAATTTTATTTATGTTCTTATATCTCACTTTTTTTTAATTTTATAGAAAATACTACAGTTTCTACCTGAACGAATTTTCTTTCGATGGCATTACCAGAGTATAGGTAAGAACAATTGAAAACTGTGGGTTTTCTTCTTTTAAAGCAATTTGATTTTCTTCTAGTTGAATTTTTAATAATGTTATCTGTAACTAATATAGTCAGGATTGTTTAGTAAGAAATACTAATAACTAAAACCAAGACAAATCTGACCTGAGCAATATGACCTGGGAAAATATGTATTTTATCTTGTTCTAAAAGTACAATTTAAAGTGTAGGTCATAGGATAACAGCATCAGCCTTTCCTTGGAAGCTTTAGTTATAGATGCAGAATTTTGGACATCATTATTGAGCATAGTAGTTAGAGAAATTCTGATCTAGAGTATTTCTTAAATAATTTTACATTATTGCTTACAGAAGCATTTTGTTCTTTAAGCCACTATCATTGACTCAGAATTACTATTTGAATACCTTAGGATGTGGTAGTAAGAAAAAGTTTGAAATAATGCAAGTTATCACATCTGACCTTCCCATCCAGCTCTTAACAGTTAATACCATATTGTTGTAATTAAATGTGCACAGTCCAGTTGGAGTCATTCCAGGGTAGTGATTGTGAATTCTGCCTTTTGTTTTAAAGAGTGTCTGCTTCAGGCCTTCTGATGTACAAGAGTCTCATTTTCTACAATTGTTCTTCCTTACCAGATGGTCATATTGGAAGAGAGAATGAACCTTATATTGGAATCTAACTCTGTTTAATCATTCATTCAAATGTTTATTGAAGGAGAGACATTTGGCACTAAGTTCTGGTACAAAAACAAAGAATATCTCACCACCCTTGAGGGCATATGACCAAGTGTGGGGGTAGATGAGAAAAACAATTGATGCTATTAAAGAAGTGTAATAGGAGCAAAGAAGAAAAGTTGAATAATTTTATTCAAAAGACTTGAAGGAGACTTCAAGAGAGGTGACTCCCATCTGAGTCTTGGAAGATAAGTAGAACTTTCTTTGTTGGAGATCAATATGTATAGTTACAGAACCTGCAAGAATATAACAGGATGAGTAGATGTCCCAAATTTTATCCTAAATTTAATTGAGGATTATTTTTATAAAATATATAGCTAACTCTCACAGAAACTGAATTACTTAGTTTATGTTACAAATTTAAAGAAAGTAAAACTTATATAGGTTATATCTATAGCACTGGGTAAATACATCATTACTTTAAGAATGTGTCTTACAGCTGGGTTCCGGTGGCACACACTTGTATCCTAGCTACTCAGGAGGCTGAGATCTGAGGATCACAGTTTGAAGCCAGTCCAAGCACTAAAGTCCTTGAGACTCTTATCTCCAACTAATCACAGAAAAACAAAACAACAACAACAAAAACTGGAAGTGGTACTGTGGCTCAAGTGACAGAGTGCCACTTTTGGCACTCTTGAGCAAAAGGAGCCCAGGAACAGTGCTCAGGCCCAGAGTTCAAGCCCCAAGACTGGAAGAAAAGAAAAAAAAAGAGGATGTGTCTTAGAGCTGCCCAGCATAGTTCACATCAGGTCCTATCCACTGTGGAACTACACAAAAAAGCCTCAGTTTTCATAGCCTTTGGATTTTGAAATTGTTGCTAAGAGATGTGTGCTTGTTATTTATCTTTAAATCTTTTAAGTAAAGAAAGTTTTTTAAATCTTAGAGAATTGACCATAGCATTTCTGCTTAATTGAGGCTTTGAGTGTATGTGTTTAATGTAAAAATAAAAATTTAAATGCAAAGTACAATATAAAGAGACATCATGGGGATTTGTGATGTTCTATGGTACAGTAGGAAGAGACCGCAATGAGAAATAACTACATGTAGTATTTGTTGTCTGTGCCAAGTATAATCCTTCTCTAATTTTGTTTATGTAATTTGTATGAAAACCATACTCATTTTCTTTAGATAGCTCTTTAGAATGTGTGAAGATTAGTGGGCTTCCCTCAGCATGAATAAATTTATTAGAATTTTGTGAAAACTAATTTATATTTGTATTGTGAAACTTTACACATTTAGTAAGCAGTATGTGGCATTTCTTTAATTCTACCCAGTACCACTAGAACTGATTAAATTGCTAGCGTAAGTAGTTTTTTGTTTGTTTATTTTGTTTTTTACTGACTTTAGTAGCACCTTCTTAAGAGTGATGCAGCCTCAGACTCTTCAATTGGGATTTCAAAGTATTAGTCTCCCAAGTCATCATAGCAGCAGTTGCTTACCTGGTATATGAAACAAGGCTGTCTGTTAAAGTGATCGGCAAAATCATATTTGAGGATGCTAAAGTATGAACATTGGCATATAAAGAAAATCGTCCTTACGTTTATATACTTGATGCCTGAGTTAAGTATGATCTTGTAGATAAGTGTATTTTTATATTATCAATCAAATTGGGTGGATATGGGTCCACCTGATCTTCAGCTAGGTATACTTGAGAATCAGAGATTTTTTTTGAGTTTAGATAATCAGAATGTTTATTGATATGAATGAAACAAGCAACTTAGAACATCATCACAATTTTAATTTCTGTATGTGACACCTCTACAGGATTAAGCAGTGTACCAACTGAGTTAGTACTTCGGCAGCTTAAGATAGGAATACTCACCCTCAGTGAACTAAGTCCAAACAGCTTTAGTCAGGTGTAATCAGCATAGTTCAGATTACATCCTGTCCACTTTGTACCTACACACAAAAAACTTGTTTTCACAGCCTTTGGATTTTGATGATGTTCCTAAGAGGTTGTGGGCTTAGTGTTACATAGATTTGTTTTTATAAGTTTTGTTGCATTCTCTCTGGTTTATTTGGATTTGTTAATACTGTTCCTGTTTGTCATTCAAGCTTTCAACAGAGGTAACCTTTGACGAGCCTTATTTCTTGAAGTATCTGTGGCCCACTGAACTCTCTCATCTAAGGAAGAGTATCACACTCTTCCTTGGTTCTTTTGCAGTCAGCCTGTACATTCACATAGTCTTTGATGGACAGGGTTTTTCTGTGCATTTAATCCTAGGACTTCCTCAGAATTGCCTCACAACCAGGCCGAGCTAAATCCAGTTCCCTGTGTGCCTCTGTTTTTGGGAAGCAATAACTGGAACTTATACCCCTGGGAGTGTGAGAGCTAACTCACTTGGTT